ACGGCTAACTCACAGATTGAACCCTGAAACAACCTCTGGGCTGATCTAAGTCTGGGCTATAACTCACAGCTAAATTGGAATTTAGCGTTTTGGGTTTTGCGGAGGAAAGGAAACCGAGAAAAACCCTCGCATCAACGTAGAGATGTGGTGACGAGTCCAGGAATCAATCCTGAGACTACTGCTAAATCACCCTTGCAGATAATGTTTTCGTTTCACTCACCTAGGTTGTCAAAACCATGGGTCATCTCATGCCCAATGATGGAGCCAATGCCACCAAAGTTTAGAGAACTAGATCAAGAAGATACAATCAAGTTATAATCGCAACAAAATCATGTGCGATTAAATGAATAAATAGGAAACGCGCGCATGCAGTGCTGCTATAAAGCACCAGGGTTTGGTTGAACACGAGAGAAGTGTTAGGAGCAGCACCATGCGTAGAGGAGTGCTTTATAATTGCGCAAAGAACAAGTTGCTTGATTAAAAATATGCTAGAAATATCATGACATATGTAATAGTCCCCTTCACAGTTCCCTGCGCCATCTTGAAAGCAGGTAGCCGTACCTTTGCATCCATCTTGAAAGGTAGCCGTGCCTTTGTATCGAAGCGAGACGAAAGGTGAGCTTGCAATGATAGAGGCCTTTTTTAACACCTTGGACAATTATTCACGTGTCTCTATCATTGCAAGCTCACCGTTCGTCTCGCTTCGATGCAAAGGCAAGGCTACCTTTCAAGATGGCGCAGGGAACTGTGAAGGGGACTATTGGACGTTTGTTGGGAATGACACTTGCGTTTTGGAAATTTGTTGGAAATATCCAAAACTAAATGTTCAACATATCTTTCTACTTTCAACGTATTCCCATCATGCAGTTTGAGCGCGCACGGCTTTTTCACATCTAGTCGACATCTTACTTTGTGTAGGTCTCCGAGAAAAAAGGTTTTTGTAGAATTCCTGCAGGAATATCTGTAAGTAATAAAAGAAAGTATTCGTTCATTTAAGAGAATGTTCTGTTCCATCATCATCTGTCAAAAATTTGATAGTATAGAGGCTTTACACCATCACGTGATGGCAGCCATGACGGGAGGCAGGAACAATTGAATCTGGTCTAATCTGATTTACACGAGAAAGAATTCCCTTTCCGAGGGGGAATGCTCTATTGCTGTGCCTCCTGACATGGCTGTCATCACATGATGATGCAAAGCCTCTATACATCTTTTTTCAAAATTCAAATTGTAAAAAAATTTTTATATAGCTAGGTTCAAAATTGAACAAACACTGCAAAAAGAATCGCAGAACTTCATTAAGTGTTACGAGTATGAGGCGTGATTTTTACTTCCTTACCGATGGAGTTGGAGGTACTTTTATAGAGGGCATTGACTGTTGTTGGAGACATTTCCCAGCTGGAAGAAAAGACAATGACATTAAAAAGAAGTATTGTCTTTCTTTATTCGAATGATAATCTAAGGTGGTATTCTTCGTTTGCACGTTACGTCATCGCCGCCATGTTGGTACCATTTAACAAAAGATTTCTCATTAGCATCCATTGTTAACGGTACCACAATGGCCGTCATGGTTTTGTCTTTTAACTCTCTTGGGAATGTTTGCAATCCATCAATTACAAATCATCATGATGATAAATGATGATAAAGGGCGTTGTTGAAAGCGCCGCTACGCAGGCTATAATGGTGTTGCAGGTGATGGTGATCTTTGTGATTACAATAATGACGATGATAATAATGATGTGTTAATAATAATAACAGTGTTGATGCTAATGATGTACATGATGATGATGAAGTTGTTGTCGAAGATGACGACGATGATACTGCTGGATGTTGTGCTGTTTTTGATGCTGCTGCTGCTGCTGCTGCTGCTGATGATGATGTTGACGATTGGGATATAATAGCTTTCGTCCATTTTAAAAATAAAATATCTTTTCTGTAACTATGTTTCTTGCCCACACAACTCAATTTTTACTTTTTATTTGTTTATTTTTATGTTTAGTTTATTACTCACCTTTCCTTGTTAACGGGGTTTCCCATTTTTTCGAATGTCTTTTTCTTGTCAATTTTATCGATTGACAAGTAATTCCGAAAATAAGTGTCGTTCCTCACATCCATCTATAGAAAAATCAAACCAAGAGAGAACTGAGATTACACATTCAGTAAACCTGTATGTTTAGTATATTCTTCGTTTGCAATAGACGTCATAGCCGCCATGTTGGAAGAATTTGACAAAAGATTTTTCAATGAATTCTTTTGTTATATCTTCCAAAATGGCGGACATCCCTTTTGTTATTGTGCTCTCTTGGGATTGATTGCAAACCAAGAATAGTTGTAGCAAAAGTAAAAAAAAAGGTGGTTAGATGGACACGAGTGAAAAACGTGTGCGCATGCTCTGATCCGTATGCAAATTAGTCAAGACGTCTTCATGCTATTGCAATAATATGCAAATTTGACATTCAAACATGCCTGACAAATGGACTTTACAAAATGCCAAAACTTAGTGTCCATGCTTGAAACTTAAGGCTAATTCTTTTATATTGTGTTTGTTAATACAGTATCTTGGTCTGACAAAAGTATGATCGTGAAATGTTTCGTATACTCGGAGAAAACAAACATTTATTTTCTCACTCTAACTCTTTTAAATTCTTAGAAAACATGTTGAAATGCACGCATGCGCAAACGTTTTTCTCTAGTGTCGGTAAGATGCATGTGTAGACGGGTCCCACCCAATACAAGTGCGTTTTACCTTTTTGTATAAATCAGCTAGTTTGCTATCATCCATGATGAACTCAGGATAACCAACATGTTCGTCCATGGCCTTTGCCTGATATTTGAAATCGCAGAGAAATTTATTTAGTTATATTTATTTAGGAAGCTTCTTCCCCTTGGTTTTATAATTTAAAGGGGTACTTGGATGAAAACGCCAGAATTTTTGAAAGTCCGAATAATTGAAGTATATGAGGATAATATGACTCAATCATGATTATGTAAACCAGATTAGTGAACATTTTAGTCTGGGAGCCACTTGCTATTGAGATATTTTGATTTAAAAGCAGAAAGAACAATAGGGTTGAGTAAATGACGTCATTTACTTACAATTTAGATGCTGAATAAAACTGATAATTTTTATCCGCTACATTTCACTGTGAAGAAATATGTTGCTTGGCCACTATTGGGGCCATATAGATACGTTTAACTAAGTTTAAAGTCATTTCCAATTTTTATCCATTTTCATCCAACTGCCCCTTTAACAGATCCTTAAGTAAAATGTCCCTGTTGACTGAAGCGAAATAGCGATTAAATAAAATACAAGTATAGAAAATAATCGAGGTTTCAAGTATAATAACATTTTACATCTGATAAACGAAACCTATTTAAATCACAGTTGGATATGACATATTTAACGAAATTTGATTTGAATGCTTCAGTGTTCTCTAAATCCATAACTTCAACAGCAAAACTCTTCCACTCCTTCACAGCGTGGTAGGAATTGAAAGGCGTTGATTGCCTTTACAGTATGTTTATGAAAAAAACTATCGACCTGTGAGTGAGCACTGCCCTGACTTTAATCCGCCCAAGGGTTGTTTCAAGCCCCGTTTACACTGGCGATTTTAGCGGCGATCTTACAAGTAAATTCTTTACCATTATTAATTATGGACAAAATCGAAAAAAAAAAAAAAAAAAAAAAAAA